TACTGGTCTGTGAAATATGACATTGGTATTTTAATGGGGATTGCATTGAGTATGTAAATCATTTTGGACAGTATAGACATTTTGTCAATGTTCATTCCACCAATCCACAAGCATGATATGTTTTTCCATTTGTTTGTGTCATTTGTGATTTCATTTCTCAGTGTTTCAGTTTTCTTGTAGATATCTTTTCACCTACTTGGTTAAGTACATTCCTAAGTATTTTATTCCCTTTGTAGCTATTGTGAATGGTAATGAGTCTTTGATTGGACTCTCATTTTGACTGTAATTGGTATATAGAAATGCTATCGATTTGTATACATGGATTTTATAACCTGAGACTCTGTTGAATTTATTTATTAATTCTAGGATTCTTTTGGTAGAGTCTTTGTGTTTTCTAGATAAAAGATAATATCATTAGCAAACATTGATAGTTTGACCTTCTCTTTTCTGTTTTGAATATCCTTTATTTCTTTCTTTTACCTGATTGCACTGGCTAGGACTTCCAGTACTTTATTGAATAGAAGTGGTGACAATGGGCATCCTTGTCTCAATACTTTCCTCAAATTGATTTTCCATGCTTTTAGCTCTTTCTTTTTTTTCTCTCTCAGGGATACCTATAATTACTATGTTAGTTCACTTCACATAAACCCGTATTTCCCTAAGTGGTTTCCCAGTCCTTTTTATTCTCTTCTCTGCCTTTTTGAATGGCTGGGTAAGCTCAAGAGCCTTGTCTTTAAGCTCTGAGGTTCTTTCTTATCCTTGGTTTAGTCTGTTGTTGAAGCTTTCTGCTATTTTTGAAATGCTCTAAATTGCTCTCTCATATTTTAAAATTCTATTATATCCTTTCTTATTTTGTCTAACACTTTAGTGACTTTTTCCTTTTTTTTCATTGATCTCCTGAAATTTTTTGGGCTTCTCTTTGTTGGGCTTCTTTCTTTTCAAACTTTCTCTTCAATTCCATTCATCGTATTTGTCATCCATATTCTGAATTCCATTCCTGCCATTTTGGCAATTTCCTTGTGGTTGGAGTCCACTACTGTGACTCCATTGTGATCCCCTGGGCGTGTTGAACTGTTTTGTTTTTCATGTTTCCAGGGTTCTTTTGCTGGTTTCTTCTCATTTGAATCTTCTTTTCTCAGCTTAGGGCTAATAGGTTTGCAGGACACCTGCTATCCTTTGCTGGAAATGCTCCTGCTTAATTAGAAAAAGATGAAGACTCTAGATGGTGCTTTTTCCTAGTCTAAAATGTTGATTTGGCAGGGAAGGGGCATGTACACTAAAAGCCTGTAGTGTAGCTGTTCATTTTTGTCCTGTTCACCTATGATTGCCACAGTTTAAGCCAGTGCTGGATGATCTTTATGTGCAGTGATCAGTTGTTCCCCAGATCATTGTAGGAGTTTCAAGTTGGGGATTGGGTGAGACACTATCCACAGATGCTGGCATTGTGAGGATTGCTTTTCCTGGGGTCTTTCTGCAAAGGTGACAGTGGCAACTGGATGAGGCTATCTAGGCAGTGGTTGTGGGTGTGTGGGCTGTAGACATTTGCTAGAACCAAATCCAGATGGAATGGTGGCTTGAGGCTGGTGAGTCCCTGGCAGAGTGTTGGACCTTGGGTAAGTACTATCAGACCAGCAGCAGTGGTGAAGACTCAGGGGTGGGGTGTTGGGGTCCAGGTGTAGTGCTGGCTTTTCAGGGATGGTGTCACAGGCTCGGCGGGAGCTCTGGATCAACAAGTGTGGAGCCCTACGCTCCATCAAGAGAGTCTCACAGCCAGAATTGGGGCCCACAGAAGCAATGCCATGCAGGCAGTGGGTTGTTCCAACCTGGGGCACAAAGGTAGGGCTGCACAGGTGATGGGCTATTCCACTGCCTCAAGGACCATGGATGTCAAGTTGCACGAGTGGGGGTTGGTTCCAGTGGCCCAGGGACCATTGAGTTCTCCCCACCTTCCCAGATCCTGCTAAGTCACCCAAAGCTTCCCATGTAGACTGTGTAGGGCCTGAGGCAACTCTGCTCAGATCCCACCGCTCTGGAATGGAGGAGCACCTGGTCTCCAGTCATAGGGTACAACTCAGGGGAGCATCCATTCTGTTTGCTCCCCCTCCAGCCCTTTGGGGGCAATGTGAAGGCCACTGCTGCAAAGGTGAGTCCCATGCAGACCTGGTGTCTTGTGCCTGAGAGCTCAGGATGGTGTCAGCTGCAGAAACCCAAGATCAGCAGCCACCAGATCCTTACTGTGCCTGTTCTCCAGTGCAGTGACTCTGAACAGGCTCCAGGCAGCACCCTAGTCAGTCCAGACAGGTCTGTGGTGTTGGAGGAATCCCCCTCACAACTCAGCTCCAGTTCCTGCAGGGTAAGCATGACACCCCAGCACTCTATCCTCCTAATCTTCCCCATGTGCAGATATCTCCCCACAGATCCCTTCAATCTTGTAAATGAATTAAACTCTTCAATCAAAAGATAATAATTTGCAGAATGGACAAAATCACATGATCCAGATGGGAGGAAGAAGATGGCAGACTAGAAGCAACCCACAAGCACACTGCTTTCAGGTAAAAGATCCTAAATTGCAGGCAGATGCCCACCTATGGATAGCTTTTCTCAGCAGGAACATTGTGAAACCCCAGAGAAGTGATGCGGAACACTCAGAGTGAAGGAGAAGGTGACAGGGCGATTCATTTTACAAGACCTATCTCCCCCTGCTGACACACACACACACATACACAAAAATACATTTACAAACACACCGAATTCCAGGTGTATTAAAGCTGTAATGTAAAATGAAAAAACTAAACTTTTAAAAAATGCATGAAAGATACACAAGAATGTCTTTATGATTTAAGATGTCTATTGTTTTTTAAACAAAAAAGTATTGTATCAAAATTTTAAATTTCTATGTTATAGAAGACTCTATAATTTTTTAAAAAAGAAACTAAAAAGGGAAAAATATTTTAATGCATATATACAACAAAGTATTGGTATGCAGAACACATAAGTAACTTAAAAATAAAAAATGAAGTACAGGCCGGGTGTGGTGGCTCATGCCTGTAATCCTAGCACTCTGGGAGGCTGAGGTGGGAGGATCTCTTGAGCTCAGGAGTTGGAGATAAGCCTGAGCAAGAGTGAGACCCTGTCTCTATTAAAAATAAAAGGAAATTATCCAGACAACTAAAAATAGAAAAAATTAGCTGGGCATGGTGGCACACGCCTGTAGTCCCAGCTACTTGGGAGGCTGAGGCAGGAGGATTGCTTGAGCCCAGGAGTTTGAGGTTGCTGTGAGCTAGGCTGATGCCATAGCACTCTAACCTGGGCAACAGAGCAAAATTCTGTCTCAAAAAAAAAAAAAAAATGAAGGACAAGCAATCTGATGGCAAATATAAATATGATGAGTAAATTGGAAGAATAAGGCAGTGAAACAAATGAAAATATGCTCACTGGAAAATCGAGAAATGTAAGGGGAAAACCAAAATGCATAGTCATCAGTTTGGGAAAAATACTTTGCTACCTCTTGTCATCGAGCATGTAGAACAACATTAAAACTGTAAGCTCTGGCTGAATGATGACTTCTTAAAACCATTTTGGAGAGATTTTTAGTATAATTCAATAGAATAAAATACCTATACCTTAGGACTTAGTACTTCCATGTCTATATATTCCCAGGGAAACTATGACTCAAGTATATAAAGAAACATGAAAAAAATTGTTTTAAACAGCAATGTTTACATTAAAAGAAAATGGAACCTAATGTTGAACAACATGAGAATGAATTAATTATAGATTGTGTTGCGTATATTTAATGGCTTTCTATATAACAGTGGAAATTAATGACTAAGTGAATAGACTTTACAAATATAATGTTGAGTGAAAACAGCAAGAGAAACAAATACAGCATGGTACTCCTAAAACACATAAAGACATGCAAACCAATATCACAGATTGCTTAAGGCTGTGTGTGTGCATGTGTGTGTGTGTTTGTATCATATAGGTGCATACATCCTAATTAGCAAAAATGTTAAGAAATGGTAAACCTCAAAATGATGGAGCAATTGTCTTTGAGAAAGAAGAAGATTCAATAAAGTAGAGGTATATAGTAAATTCTAATTTCGACTCTAATAGTACATTTTTATTTCTTAAGCTGAGTGGTCACCACACATATTTTTGCACTTATTTGTATGCCTGAAATATTACACAATATATTTCAGGAAAAAAGAAGAGTAATGGGCATATTAAAAACATGATATAATCATCTCAGATGTAGAAAAAGCCCTTGACACAACCGAATCTTCATTCACTGTCAAAACTCTTAGCAAAGAAGGAGTGGCTATATAATTTCCATCATGTGATAAAGGAATACCAAAAACTTAGTAAACATCATGTATCTTGGTAAAATATTTAAAGGGTCCACTTTAAATTTACATCAAGAGAAAGTTGCCTGCTTCCATTCAACATCATACAGTGTGTTCGGCTGGCCGACCAGACAAGGAAAAGATGCGAAGGCTATGATTGGAAAGGGGAACTCAGGTTGCCACCTGCAGTTCTCCTTGTTCCTTCTGTTGTAGGTGGGTGTCTCAGCCTGGGCAGGTCTTCTGGTCAGTTCTGGAGGTTCCTCTCCCCTCCAGCCCAGCTGCCCAGTGAGACACAGCATCCCAACTTCCCGTTTCCTTACTAACCTGCTGCCTAAACTTGTTATTGCTATTCCTGCAGGAATAAAAAAGGTAGCAAAACAAACACAACATAGACAGAAAGCATAGAAAACAGAACTTCCATCATCCCTTGAACTAAAAATTCCTATCTCTCGTTCTCAAACACTGCAGACAGGGGATCCCTGATCCCCTTGGGCTTTCTACCTTGCACGCATCTACCTGCTATTATAATTTCAGATATTCTGCCTTTGCTAAGGAGTTGTAGAAAAATGGCTTTTCCTATCTGTCGAGGTGGAGGCAATGTTGCACTGTGTGACGTGTGTGGATCACCCTGGGGCAGGATGTCCCACTGCTTACCGTTCCTTCTCACGAGGCAAGGGCTTGCTGTATCAGTTCATCTCGGTCTGTTTTAAACACGATAAACCAACCGTGTCTTCACGTTCCTTTGCGTAGTCAATTTTCTTAATCATAAAGAGCAGGAACAGAAGAAAGATTTTTTCAAGTTAAAAGTCTTACTAAAGCAATCCTCTTAGTATAAACAAAGAAAAACAAGATGATTCAAGGACCCATTCATTACGATAATAAAATCTTCTATTTACAAAGCTTTTTACAGGTTTCGAAGTACTTTTACATTTATGAGTTTGGGCATATCCAAACTCATTTGACCCCAGAATATTAATAATATCAAGTAGGGGAATGATAGAAAAATATGAGATATAAAGTGTGCTTAGATTAAGGTTTGTAGCAGAAAATGATCTCATAGGTTAAATAATCTCAGAATTATTTATGTTTATTATAAGATAATCAGAATTCAATTTTTTAAATCCTATACAGAATTCTTATGAATCTTAATTTTGGAAACACATTAGATTTTTAGAATTATATGAGATAGGCACAGTAAGTTTTATGATGTGCATTATGAAAAATATGTTATTTTTCTCAGTTATTAATGCTTTCAAATTAGTATATAAAGCCATTGTGACAAAAAATAATGGGGAACATGATATAAAATATTGAATTCATCTAATTCATTCTGATGATCTCTTTCAGACATTTCTAATACATATTATATCTTTATATGCATGGCATATTATGAATTTCTATTATTTTATTCAGAAAAATATTAATTGCTTTATTTATAATTTTCATTTTGATGGTTATGTAGTTTTATAGGCTATTGATAAACCAAAATTTAATTTTTGTCTTTCCAATTGTTAGGCATTTAGATTATGTTCAGAGAATATCAGAGAATTGTCATATGCATAAAACTGTTTCCTTTCAATTTAAAATAATACCAGAAACAAGCGATATGAGGACAGGGCTGGTGTGTCACACTAGGCTAGACATTGTATTTTCAGCCCCCAAATCAGTGTATTGGAGGTGCTCAGTAATTATTTTTTTACTTCTGAATACATGGAATCTTTTGAACTATATTGCAAAATTGTTTTTCAAAATGACTGCTTTAGTATTTATTAAAACTAGCAATGTGTGAATATGCTAGTTTCATCACATGCTCATTAAAACTGGATATTTCATTAACATAAAAATACTTCATTATTTTTATTTTTTATATGATATGTTGTAATTTATATTTCTTTGGTAATGAAGTTGAATATATTTTCTTGTTTGTTATATAATAATATTTATACTATTTCTAATTGTTGGTTTAGATGAGGAAAATGGGGTTCCAGGAGGTAGAAATATGCATTTGAATAGAAATTAGTCAGGTATCAAATCTCTTTCTGATCAATTAAGATATGGTCTCTACCATGATACCCCAAATGTAGTTAATTTTTGTGGTAATAGTTTTAATTTAGCTTATAAGGTGTCATATTGATGTGAGACTCTCAAGTTAAGGTCATCTATAGAAATTATGAATATCCTATTCTCAAATCCCAGATTTTCATAGGTTTAATTTAGTTAAACCTCCAGTGATTTTGCTAATGTTAGTAATAACTAGTACTCTCTATGTGAATTCAATAATTTATTTTCTAAATATTTTAAATGTTTCAGAATTACTTAAAATGTTTTGAGACTAGAGAGAATCCTTCAACTACTTGCATATTTTGAGTCAATTGTATTTCACAAGTCACAGAATAATTTCTGAATATTTAATGTATCTTCACAGAAAAAAAGCAACTTGGGGGTCTGAGAAAGAAGAATGATCATAGCTTATTTTTCAGAGGGTTTTTAAGGATACCAGGGCTCATACCTTTCTGTGAGGAGGTTTTAAATGGGCTAGAATTGAAATAAAACAATAGTAAATAACACTTATAAATGCTACCCCAAAATCAGTTTTCTTCATCATTGTTAAGATATTGGGGGAAAATTATACATGCACAAATTGGATGCTGCTTTTCAGTGCTTAATTTCTGGTACTTTTTGACAAGTTTCATTTATATAAAGCATTTTTAAATCTGGTATACTAAAGTAGGGGGATCTGGCCAAGTTTAGCTAAAGGGACAGCTGAGTTTGAAACACCTTCCTTGGGACAACACATGCCCTGTGCCCCTCATACGACACACCCTGCAGGGGGGAAGAAGGAGAGCTGACCTTTCAGACACCAAAACTGTCATCCTTACTGCTCAGTGAAACTGCAGTAAATCAGTAGTCAAAGAATGATGAAATACTACTATCTCGAACATTAATATGTGAGAGAATGATCATAGTTTTTTCAGAGGGTCATAATTTGTACAAATATGCACATAAATACATGTACACTCATACATACATGCACACACATATATGTATACTTGTTTTCATATGGTAACATACATGTTTCCTATAATTCTTTTCCTGAGAACTATTGTTTTTCCTAAATCCTTGTAACAACGCCACACTTACCAAGTAGATAGTTGCAGAAAAGAAGGCTATTCCCAGCCAGGAAACTGCCGTAGCACAATGCAAACGATACTTTTCTAGAGCTTTGAGCACTTACTGTTCAGGATGCTGCGACTTGTACTTCCCTTCTTGTTGAGACCGGGAATCATCTTAGTTCTGCAGTTTGCATAAATTCTGTGCAAAATAAAAGATTAATAATGAAGTATAATATATTATAACACAGCTTCCCTATAAAGCACTTTATTTCGTGGAGTAGCTCTTAATAGATGGTGAATCTGTCAATTGATATTTTAGAGGGATTTTAGAGAGATTCCCAACAGTTTAAATGGATCGCCCTCTGGTGTTCTTCTGAAGTAATGCCAGTGGTAAGACTTCAAAACTCTTGAGTATTAAGGAAGGGCAAGGAAGAAAGTAAAAGGTTTACGGAGTTTTCTCCTTTAACTGAATACAAACTGATGCTGTTTGTGTTACTGTTGTTTTCCCTCAGCATGGAGCTAATTTTTTTTTTCTACTCAAAACTTTTGACCTTGTATCTTTTGCCTTTGGAGAGCAGTAACTCTAATAAGATTGTCAGTGAACAAATATTTATTGAACTCCTCCTATGTGTCAGGTACTACATTAAGTCTTAAAAGAAAGGGAGGGGATGACTAGAATTCTCACTTGCTTTTGAATCTTTTTTTGACTATCCAGACTATCCAGACTTTTTTTGACTATCCAGTTTGCTGATTATTTAGTCACACCTGTTCTTCATAGACAGCACCAACCTGCAAGTAAACATAGGATCAGCTTCCTCCTACTGTTGGGAGTTCCAAGTTCCAGACACACTCAGATTCTCCCCCTGTGTTTCTAAGAGTTCTCAAAGTTGTCTCAAATGTGCTTGAGAATTATTCCTGAAGCTATTTCCACACAGCACACCCTCCAGCAGCTACTGAAGCATGTGTGTCAAAAGTCACTTCAAGTAGGAAAAGGGCCCTTCAGTGCCATGTGTGCTATAGGCTGCAACACAAATGGGTAGCCTTGAGCCCTCAGTAGCAGAGATTTCAGTCCATTGTTTTAAACTTTTATTTTATTTTCTCTTTGCTCAGAGAGACTTGTAGAGTAGCCTATCTTTCCCCGCAAAATTGAATCCCTGGGGGGGATGAGGTATTCATTTGCATGGGGATCTGGAACTGGAAGAGGGAGCTGGAAGAGTCTGGAACATTGGGCACTGTTCAGAAAATATTGGTTGGGGAGAATGACTATGTGTGTGAAGCAGGGAGCAAGGATGCACCATGAGGACACTGGACACTTGCAAAAGGAATCAGAGGATGCAAAGTGTAGGAAAAGAGGTACTGAAAAGATGCAATAATGTGAAAGGTAAGCTCTGTGTGTGCTATAATTCATTCTAGAGGCCAGCCTAGACAGAGCTGGCGGTGGCACTGCCATAAGGTGGCATCCCCCTCCCCCCCTCCCCAGGCATGGGCTTGGCACCAGGGTATAGTTAGAATCAGGGCAGTAGTTACCAGAGGCAGTGCCCTATGGTGTTTCTTACATAGCATTAGAGACAAAAATCCAGGACCTGAATATAAAATACAAATAGAGAAAAACAAAAGGGAGTTGAGGTCTGAAATGAAGTGTGTCATAGACTGTTTTTCCATTCTTTAGATACTTCACTTAGGACAGTGGTCTCCAGTTCCATCCAGACTGTTGCAAAGAAGTATTAATTCATCTCTTTTCCAAGATGGATAAAAGAGTTGTTAGGTTTCAGTCTGAAACTGTCAGTTCTTGGCGAGCTCATGGGTGAAGAACAACCGGACAGGCCAAAGTTAGGCAAGCATAAAAATTAGGTTTATTGAGGAGAGAAAGGTATGATTACAGGGCAAGGGTAAGATAAAGGTTCACAGAGCATGGTACATATGCCACAGATGATAATTGGACCCACTGTTGCAGCAGGGAAGGCAAAAGGAAGGGCAAAGAGAGAGAGGTTGGCTATGCTCTGTGTCTTACTTTATAATGCCTGGAAAGGGACCTCCTTTGTGGTCCAGAGGTCACTATGGAACCACTTTGATTGGACAGTTGGGAGTCACATGACCTGAGGCATAACTACACATATGGGTTCTAGGTCACTTTCCATACTCTTTGGTATCCATGTAGCTTGACCTGTGGGCTACAAAGTCCTCTGCATTCTTTTGCAGCTTGGTGAGCCAAGTTCTGATTGGCAGATTCAGGGGGTGTTTCCTCCTCCCTGACGTATGGAGAATTAGGATGGGGCAGGACCAAGATGGGAGCATTACCCACTTTCATCCCTAGGAGACCAGGAATCCCTCACTAGCTACCTAACAGAGTTAGATCTAAGGAACGAAACCATAAGAATTCTAGAGGAAAATGTAGGTAAAACTCCTCTACATATCTGTTAGGGTGGCCCTGAATCTCCCAGTTTTCTAATAACAGCTAAAAATCAATCCTCTGAGCTCTCTCTCTCTGTTCTCTCTGCTGTTTCTCTCCCAAGCTAGCAGGCAACCTCCTGGGACTCTGTTTTCACAAACATCTGAAAAGAGCCAAAAGAAAAGAAATGTAAGTCTTTCTCTTTACATTCACCACCTCACAGCCTTTAGAAATTTACTTCTACAGCATAAAGGTGTTCTTGAGAAGCTCTCTGATCAGACATCAAGGGGGTAAACTGCAGGTCCTAGTTTCCCTCAAAACCGTATCTCAGGAACAAAAATCACAGCCCCTGTGACACGCCTGACTAATCTCAGATATAACCAAGTCTTCAGGAACACAGAAGAAGCAAGAAAGACAGACAACTTGTGACTGCCTGCTAATTACTTCACAACAATTACTATTTTTCTCTTTGTCTCCATAAAAGCAGCAAGCCAGTTGGCCTAGCTGTTGGCATCTCCCTTCTCTTTCTTCTAGATGGCATGCCCCCTGCTCCCCCCCCATTCTCTCTGTTTTTCTAAAGGATAAAATAAATTTTACTTATATCTCAGTGTATGCAATCTTTCTCCACCTGAGCCATGAGCACCTACTAGCGTTTCTATCCTGACAATATTAGCCTAGGCAAAGAATTTATGAAAAAGACCCCAATGGCAATCATAGCAACAACAAAAATCAACAAACGTGGTTTGATTAAACTAAAAAGCTTCTGCACAGCTAAGGAAACATTCAACAGAATAAATAGACAATCTATAGAATGGGAGAAAATATTTATAAGATACACATCTGATAAAGGGCTAATAACCAGAATTTACAAAGGACTTAAGCAAATCAACAAGAAAAAAAAATAAATAACCCTATTATAAAATGGACAAAAGACATGAACAGAAGCTTCTTAAAAAAAGAAAGACAAATGGCCAATAAACACGAAAAAAATTCTTAATGTCACTAATCATCAAGGAAATGTAAATTAAAACTACAATGAGATCGCACCTTACCCCAATTAGAATGGCGTTTATCAAAAAGTCCAAAAACAGTAGAATCTGGACTGGACATAGAGAGAAAGGAACGCTTACAGCTGTTGGTGGGACTGCAGATTAGTACAACCTCCAAGGAAAACAGTATAGAGATTCCTCAAAGAATTAAAAGTAGACCTACCATTTAAGCCAGCAATCCTACTATTAGGTATTTAAAACCCAAAGGAAAAAAAAAAAAGACTTTTTATCAAGAAAACACCTGCACTCAAATGTTTATGGCAGCACAATTCACAATTGCAAAGATGTGGAATCAACCTAAGTGTCCACCAATTCCTGAGTGGATTAATTAAAATGTGGTGTATCATTTCGTACATTTCCTGGAAAGACACCTTCAGTAAGTCTCTCCTGCTCTTTTTATACGTATAGTTGGTAATCATGGAAACGACACAAAAAGAAAGCTAGAAATTTGGTGGAACTTGTGAGAGACTATTTTGTGCTTTTATGGATATTATACTTGATAATATGTGTATAAGTTACTAATACATGAATTGATGTTGAATATGTATTCCATTTGGATTCTCTTTGGATAAAGTTATTTCTTGATGTAAAAAAATGTGGTATACGTATATTGTTTCTATTTGTAATAGCACCCCTTCAAAGCAGAAAACATGTTTTAATTATTTGTGTATTCTTAGCACTTAGTACAGGATATGTTTGTTCTTTTAAAAAAAGGTGATTTATAAATATTTTGCTGAGGAAATGAATGAGTTAATGAATGATGGAGATACATTCTAATAAATGAATTGTAGGTAAACTGAGGCCAGGTTAATCCATTTATATTTGGCTAACCATGTATCAGGTCCTTTAAGTCTCTGTTTGATGTGGGCTGTCAGGAACTTAAACAAATGAAAAATAAGAAACAAAAACCAAATAAGAAAATGTTCCATATTGTTCAGTTTAGTATACCATATGGAATTCAAAAGAGGCTCTCTGGAATCTTGTAAAATTCAACTCATACTATAAATTCATTTTGTCCATAAGTCCCAAGTGGGATATATTTTGGAGGGAAATCTAGGTTTGGTGGCCCGCATTGAGAATGATGAGCAATTTCAGGTGATTATGTATCTGGGTAAGTGAGGTAGAAAATCACAAGTCCTATTTCCCATCTTTTTGAGAGACCCATTTTTCTCATCTTTACTTAATAATAATTGTCCTAAAATTTGTGGACCTCAGGACATCTTTCTGATTGGGCACAAGTAACAATTGTAATCTAACAATTGTAAATAAAATATCTGTTGTTTTCTTTATATTTCTTTCTTTCTTCTCCTCCCCCCAACAGAATTGTTTGAGTGTTTTTTAATTGCCTGTCTGAGGGAGAGTCTCAGATCTTCATAAACCTGTTGGCCCCTCTGTGAGTACAGTTATTTGAGGAGAATCAATTCAAGTTTTTTAAATGGACAATATTTTACTTCCAAAAATTATAAACCATTTGCCTTCTGGTGGTTTACTATAATTATCTAAGTTGGTTTCCTTCTTGAAAAAAATATAATCCTGGGTTTCTGAGACCAATACTTTACCTGAAGAATAAAATAGATTTCCATTCAGCTATTCCACAGAGATGGGTTTTACCATCCCTAATCTCCTGTGGGAGTATGGAAGAAACCACCCAAGATTGCTCCTTTTATTGCTAGTTTGAAATGTTTGGCTCTGTGCCTAGAAATTGACTATGCACAAGGTATAGGAGTGCAATATACATTCTTGTTAACCTAGCTCCTTCATCATGGCACTTGTACCTTGATATTAGGAGTCACCAACAGGTGAAAGGCATCCTAAAAATTGAGATAACT